TCAATCAATAATATTATCTTCAGTGGTGAAGTTTATATGACCTGCACAAATAGACTTTATTTGGCTAACATTTGGACGCCTTCGTCGATTGTCCTTGGAGTCGTTCGTCCTCGTAGCGATCTTCGTCTTTTCTCTTGGTTAGGCTAAGACGGTTAGACCTCTCTCTCTCTCTTTCTCTCTCTCTCTCTCTCTCCTTGTCTCTCTCTCTCTTCATCTCATCCTTTCTTTCTTGCTTTCCTTCTTTCCTCTTCCTATCTACCTATCTATCTAGCTTTCTTTCTCTCTCTTTCTCCCTCATCTCTATCTTTTATCTCTTTCTTTCTTTCTTTCTATCTTCCTTCCCTTCTAGCTATCTATATAGCTTTCTTTCCCTCTCCCTCTCTCTCTTTCTCAATCGTTTTTTAAGGTTTGAATGTTTTTAATTGCGCCGTAGTTTCCCTCAACGATGGTATTGAAGGCGATGTTTTTTTTTGCACATTACTTCTGTATTTCCTTATTTTTTCTAATCTTCCAGAAAATCTATCGAGTTTTCGAGGCGCTGTCGCTACGGTTTAGTGGCACAGTTCGATTGCTATGTGTTTGGATGACTAGGTCAACCATTTCTTTTGTTTATAGATATCTTATTCGTTGACACAAGTCAACAGCAGCTCAAATATGAGGTGTGAAGTCCATATGAGACCCAAAACAATCACTTCCGTATAGGGTAACGAGGCCCTATTACTGGTAATCAATGTAAATATTTGGTAGAATACTGCATAGTCATTGAGGTGAGGTGACTATGGTGTACAATAGAGCTGTTAGTAATGTTTACACACTTCTCTGCTCGGTGAAATGCGGTGACTCGTCTTTTCACGGTTTCTTTTTCTTTCTTTCCTCTCTCCTTTTCCTTTTTTGAGTGTTATATCGATCAATATACAAGAATATTTTTTTCGGTGTATTTGGGAAGTTTCGGAAACCGAATTTTCTTCGATTTTAGCTTTACTAATCAATCAAACATTCAGTGTTTGATTAAGCAATTAGCATGAAATTGATGGAGATAGCTTCATTTGATTGAATTTCTAGCGTCTTCGCCTTCCTTAAAGCCTATCGGTCTATTAACTTAAATCCCAAGAAAGTGGGATAAATGTTTTCTTTTGTATAAATTATCCTTCTAGTGGAGATCTTGTAAACAGTCTCTAAACTGTTTCCTATAGCAAGTCGGTTGCGAGTTTCGACCTTATAAGGTTTTCCGTGGTATTTCATCATGTTCTTCCTTTTTGTTTTTTCCTTGGTTTTTTTTTGTCCTATTTGCTATTTATTCTTGTGTCTTTCTACACGGTTCGTAAACTTCTGAGATAATTGTATTTTATGTTTGAGCCTGGAAAAGTATCATGTCTTAATCGTTATGTGAAGAGGAGAAGATAAGAAAGATTTTTGATAAGAATTTGGCAATCGTAAACGAGTGCGGATTCACGAGCTTCTTCCTAGTGGTAGTGGTTTTGATAATATTCAAAATTCTTTGTATGTAACAATTTCGAAGTCCGACTATCGATTGATTTCGGCAATGGTGGAGTAATTTGGTATTTTAAGGTTGATAGCAGATCCGATGTCAATAATAACAGTATTTATTGATTGACTGAATCAGTGAATAAAGGTTAATTAACATATCAACCTCGAATCTGCCTAACGAGAAAAAGTAATGAATGATTCTGCCAATGTTTCGATGTCTTCGTCTTTTTCAGAGCATTCGATGAGTCGAGTCGATAGGGTTGTATTAGCTAAAATATGAATGGAGCTGTTATTACTGGTAATGGCAAGATTGAAGAAAACTCGGTTTTCAAAGTAGTCAGAGTTGCGTTAAAGTTTTGAAAACCGACTTTACTTCAGCCTCGGCATCACTGATCAACAATAGTTTCATTTATGATTTAACTAATACAATCAATGGAAGAAAAGTGGACAATCGAATCGTATAATCGCGGCTCTGAAGAAGACGTAAGCATCGAAACGTTAGCCGAATGAATCCTTTCTATCACCTCGTGTAATGGCCAAGGAATTAACTTTGCCCATCATTGCCAGTAGATAACAGTTCCATCTATATTTTAGCTAATACAACCAATCGACTCGACTCATCAGATGCTCTGAAAATACGAGGACGTCGAAACATTGGCAGAGTAATTTGAGATTCTTCCTCGATAAGCAGATTCAAGGTTGATATGTTATCAACTCATCAAAACAATGATTTCTGGACACTGTGTGATGAGGACGGGATACAACTTTTGGCGTTGATCAATACCCTGAGGGATGCGCCATGCATTCACCCCTGGAGTGATTGATTGCATATCTAGCTTCTACAATGACTTGCGGTGACCTTTTATGTAGCACAACTGTGGTACCGGTTCACCGACACTGGAAGGAGGGTAGGCTTGGTGAGCTTTGAGCGTGGGATTGAACCGTAGACCATCGTTGGGATTGATCATGTGTTTCCCAGAGCACGTCTGACCACTGCGCCCACTCGTGCTTGCTGATTGCTGAGCAGAACTATCTACCTCAAAGGGGAGTTGAATGCACATCTCAGTCATCATAACGGAGCCGTATAGAATATCATTATACCCTTCTTTGGGTCTGAAATCATAACATCGAAACATTGTTATAAGAGCGATTTAATAAAAATTCTCAAAGTTTTATGATATTTTAGTCATACGTGCAGTATATTGTCTCATGCGCTTTAAATATTTAGGTTTATCGAGAAGTTCACATTATATATATATATATATACATATATATATTATATATATATATATATATATATATATACATTGTATTTTTCGGTATAGTGACAATTGAAAAAGCGATCCCATTTGCTGGAGAAGAACTTTTCATAGGGGAGTTTGTAACCATTCGATAGCTGAGATTTCTGGCTACAGTCCCACGTCGCTGATTTTCGAAGAAGCCTTCTTTTAACGTGCTCACAGAAAGTTTCTTTCCTAACGCTGCAGACGCGCATATTTCCCGCCGCAGAGAGCTCTTTCTTTGGACTATTAGTAATCATTCGATAGCGTAATCAGTGCTGATTCCAGCGTTGTGCTTATATCATCGCAAAACCGTTTATCTGCAACGCATCAAGTAAAATAAGTTGAATTCGCATATACGACCAAGGTATTGTGTGGCCAATTCACGTGCCGTTGACGCGATGTCGTAAGACCGGTCCATGATCGGTGAATCATCGCCTCAGCGCACGTGGTCGCTTTACTCAGCGACACGTGAATTTCCCAAAGGCCATCTTGGTCGCACATGCGAGTTCAACTTATTTCATCTTCTGCGTTGCAGAGAAACGGTCTTTTTAGGATATAAGCACAGCGTTGGAATTAACAACTATTACGCTATCGAATGACTACTCATAGTCCAAAGAAAGAGTTCTGTCTGCCGAGAAATTCGCGCGTCTGAGGGTGGTTATATTTTAGATTATACAGCCTTATAAAAAGGTGTTTTGAAAAGCCGTTGACGTGGGACTTTCGCCAGAAATCTCAGCTTTCGAATGGTTACTAACACTCGTATGAAAAGTTCCTGTCCTTCGAGTGAGGTCAGCTTGTCATTTGTCCCCTTATAACTGAAAGGTACCGTATATATAAGTATGTGTACATGGCCTATACATGTGTATGTGTACATGTAAATGTATACATGTGTAAGTACGCGTGCATATATATGTAAATATGTCTGTATATGTGTATATACCTATTTGAATTCTTGGACGGTTCATCTTCACGAATTGTGCAAATCCCACCACATGAAAATGTGCTGGTATAGGTGTTTTGTTCATTGGAGTTCCGAGGTAAGCCTCGTTGGAGCTGCAAGTCTTCGCTGCATTAGCGCATTCGCCGGCCCTGTGAGTCAGAGGGAGATTACCACCTTGCGACTAGTAGCTATCTAGAGCACTCATTCCTGATAGGAGTTATTCGTAGCTGGGCTTTCCGGGTGAAAACGTCGGACGCTTTCTCAGCTTGGATGGCCCTGCTGATAGGTTGAACCTCCTCTGTATTTCGCAGTCTGACACCTACGAACACATCTCACTCACGATAAGGCGGTAAACCATTTGGAAGGAGTACGTTCCATTAATCATCTTAAATGCTCGTATATATGTATGTTAATCGAGAAATGTATATATACATACGTACATATGCATGTATTTGTATATCTGCGTATGTATATGTATATCTGTATATATATATATATATATATATATTATATGTATATGTATATATAATATAATATACATATAATTTACATATGTATATATAATACAATAAATATACAATATATATATGTATATAATATATATATATATATATGCAAGAGCGCATGTGGCGCAGTGGTCAGAGGTGCCCTGCGTCGCACACGAGGTCACTGGTTCGATCTTGCGCACATGGCTCACCAAGCCATCCATCCCTCCGCGGTCGGTAAATTGGTACCAGACAGGTCTCACACTTGTCTGGAAGGATAAGCAGCACTGACTCGGTTCAGCGGGAGGCCACCGCGAGTCATTGTAAAGGCCAGATGTGCATTCAATCACCTCAAACGAAGTTAGAAATTGAAGTCGAATGCATGGCGCGTCCCTCAGGGATTGATCAACGCCGAGAGCTTTATCCTTTATATATATATGCACATGTACACACATACGTACGTAATTAAGGGGCGGAAAAGGGGGGGGGGGGGGAAGCATTGGTTCTTTTGTGTTCAACAAATCACATAATTGAAATTTTGAGATTAGTCAGTTTTGTTTTTGTTATGTCTCTGGCTGTCATTCTTTTCTGCTGTAAAGATGATTAATGTGCTGCTGTGTTTGTCGACTGACTGACTGCTTGTCGTCCTCGTCGTCTACTCGTCGTACGTTTGTTCGTCAAATTAGCCGGTTACTTCTAATATACTCATCCGTCGTTGCCAAGATTTCTTATACTTTTACTGCTTTTCCGCAGTGTTATGATGTCTCAAATATACCCAAGAGAATTGAGTGGTAAGCAAAAATTCGGCCTTAAGCGGGAGTTGAACCCGCGTTCATCCTTACAATAGACGCGTGCTACCACTACACAGGCCACCGCTTACTCACCACTCATTCTTCGATATCTCTTTATCATAGCTATCAGTTCAGCAACCTTAGCAGATTTGGTCGGGTAAGCAATGTCGCTCTATGAACCCAGTTAAGCTGAGAGCCGTTGTACTTAGATAAGTCCAAGATTTCTCATGTTTCTACTGCTTTTTCGCAGTATTATGATGTTTCATATGTTTCATATAACGTCTCCGGTATGGATGAAACGCGGGTTCAACTCCCGTCTGAGGTCGAATTTTTGCTGACCACTCAATTCTCTTAGGTGTATTCGTCTCCAACGACGATTGTTTTTTCCTTCTATGAATATATGATGATATCATTAACATATTATATTTTAGCATATTTGTGGTTTTAGAGAGTCGAATATCTCTCATATATTCATTGAGTATACTATAGGCTGAGCGGAGGGGGGAGGATGTGCATTTGGCGCAGTGATTAGAGGTCTCTTCCTCGCACAGAAGGTCTACGGCTGGATTTCGCGTTCATGGCTCATCAAGCTACCCATCCCTTGGGGGTTGGTAAATTGGCACCAGACTGGTCTGACTTGTTTGGTAGGATGTAGGATAAGCAGCACTGACTCGATGCAGCCGGAGGCCTCCGCGTGTCATTTTAAAAGCCAGATATGCATTCAGTCACCTCAAACGAATTCAAAAATTGAGGATGAATGTATGGAACATTTCTTAGGGACTTTTCAACGTCGAGAGTTTTATCATTCTGTACGTTGGGACGTGTGGCGCAGAGATTAGGGGTGCCCTGCAACGCATATGTGGGTCTATGGTTTAGTCCCGCACCCAAGACCCACCAGGCATTTCTTCACTCCGGAGTTGGTGAATTGGTACCAGACTTGCCTACGAGGATACCATCATTGATTCGATACATCGGAATGGCAACGCGAGCCATTGTGTAGTCAGATATTTGGTCAGTCATCTCTGGTGATGATGCTTCATTATGTCGATTGCAAGGCACATTTATCAGGGATTGATCAACACCAAGAACTATCATTTTCTCTTCCATCTTATGAGCTGCAACTGCTACCCACTTAGATGGTTAACGTCCTCATCGCTACTAGGAGGTGTTCTTGGGTGTCGAATTGCAAAGCACAGCTGGGTTTCAACCTCCGGCAGAGCAACCCAAGCTGAGAAGGTGTCTGACGTTTCCACCCGGGAAGCTCAGCCATGAGTAAACCGTACCACGATTGACCGCCGTCTTGGTAGGTACCTACTAGTCGCAAGGTCGGTAATTCCCCTCAGATCCAAAAGGCCGGCGACAGCTTTAATGTGGTGGCGACCTGAAGAACTCCGCCTAATCTTCGAGATTCCAGGGAAGAAAACAGCTAAACCAGCACATGAAAATGTGCTGAGGTCAGCAGAATTCGTGTATACGGACCGTCCAAATATCGTGAAGTATAAGCTGCAACGAATACTGGCAATTATAGTGCTGTTTGTTTTTTTAATCATTTTCTGTTTGATTGTTTTACGCACCGGTCTTATCAGTGACTATTTTACAATGTAGATCGAGAATGGTTCATTTTTAAACTAACTTTACTCGTTAGTGGTACTCGTCTATTATTTCTTTTCTCTGATTTCGAATCTGGTAATGAATTGTCATCGTTTGAAGCATTTTAAGCCCTCATATGTTCATTATCGAATAGTGTTTTTGCAGACCTGACAATGCTTACCACAGAGCAACTCGTAGATCTTTCGGAAAATTTTAAAACGGTAGGTTTTAATGTGGGTTTGTTGTGTTTCTTCGCGACCAGATCGAAGTTGAGAACCATTTGCATTTCAGGTTGATGAGAATGGAACTGGATACCTACCGCATAGCGATCTACAAGCAGCTCTGAAAGTGCTGGGCATCGATATCCCAGGATACAAAGTATATAATTCTAATTGCAAATGATATTATTATCAATTTAGGTTTTAGTGAAAAAATGTTCGCAGAATCTGTCATGAGTACATAGAGCCAGTGGTCATGGTGGTGATCAGAGGTGTAGTTATTTTCGTAGATAGAGCTTCCCTAGTTATTTTGAGGGCCCGTATGGCGCAGTGGTTAGAGGTGACACACGCGTGATCATTGCTGTGATTTTGCGTCCAGAGCCGGCGAAATCTTTCATCAGTCCGGATTTGGGGAGTTGGTACCAGAACTGTCTGAGAGGGTAGTTGGAGTGACTTGACACATCGGTATGCTACCACAAGTCTTTATTAAGGCGAGATCTGCATTGAATCACTGCAAGCGATGTTTGGCAAAGTCGAATGCATGGTACCATCCCTAATGAATTGATCAGCCGAGAGCTCCATCTTTTATCCTTTCTCCTAAATATCGTCAGATCAATTGCTGGATTGCAATGAAGGTGCAGAACACAAGTGAAGAAAACAACTCCCTCGAGTTTCAACACTATTGGTAGTCTCCAATACACCTAAGAGAATTGAGCGGTGTGTAAAAACATGGCCTCAGGCGGGAATCGAACCCGCGTTCCATCCTAACCGGGGCGCGTGCTCTACCACTACACCGCCGTGGCACATTTGCCCGACCACTCATTCATCCCAACCTTCAACAGGTTTGGTCGGATATGCGATTTCGCTTTATAAACCCAGATGAGCTAACAGCCACTGCCATAACTAATACTCGAAATTTCTAATGTTTTGTCAAAACGAAATCGTAATCAAATTTCTATTGTTTTGTCAAAACACATTGAAAATTTCGAGTATAGTTATTACAATGGCTGTCAGCTTGGCTGGGTTATAAAGCGAAGTCACATACTCGACCAAGCGTGTTAAATGTTAGTGGTTGATGGCTAACATAGGGATGTTGATGAATGAGTGGTCGGGCCAAATGTGCCTCGGTGGTGTAGTGGTAGAGCACGCGTCCCCGGTTAGGATGGAATGCGGCTCGATTTCCGCCTCAGGCCATGTTTTTGCTCACCACTCAGTTCCCTTAGATGTACTGGACACATCATACCACTGCAAAAAAAATGCAGTCAAAACATTAGAAATTTCGACTATTGGTGATCATTAACACGACCCGTCATCACAATTCACTCTGAGGGTTCTAGCACTTCCATTAGATTAGTCTCCTAGCGTTCGTCTTCCATAGAGGTCTTCCTTGAGCATTTCACGAGCTGCTTCTGTCAGTGCTTGAGCAGTTCGGCCCTCACAATGAATGTTGTAGATTGCTGGATTCAGAGGTAGCCGGGCTAAGGTGTTCCCCAGGGCGTTCAATTAATTTAATCGCAAGAGAATGAAGGGAAAAGTGATCGAATCAGCTCATCGCTTCCTGACACTATATCATTAGCTAGTGCGCGACCCCGCTCCCGTTTCAATTTGTAGTCTAG